CACTGCCCCACTGAAGGCCCAAATGCCAGCGTTCGCATGCGCCCACCGCATCCATTTTGACACACCCCTCACACGTTTCAGGGCCGCATTTCGAGCCCCACCGAAGGGCCAAATGCCAGCGTTCGCATGCGCCCACCGCACCCAATGTGGCACACCCCTCACACGTTTCGTGGCTTCATATGGAGCCCCACCGAAGGGCCGAATGCCAGCATTCGCATGCGCCCACCGCGCCAATTTTGGCACACCCCTCACACGTTTTGTGGCTCCATAGGGAACCCAACCGAAGGCACATATTCCAACGTTCGCATGCACCCACCGCATCCATTTTGGCACGCCCTTCCACACGTTTCGTGGCCCCATAAGCCGCCCCACAGAAGGCCCAAATGCCAGCGTTCGCATACGCCCACCGCATCCATTTTGGCACGCCCCTTGTACGTTTCGTGGCCCCATCGGGAACCGCACCGAAGGCCCAAATGCCAGCGTTCGCATGCGCCCACCTTGCCCAATGTGGCTCGCCCTTTCACACGCTTCGTGACCCCATAGGGAGCCCCGCCGAAGGCCCAAATGCCAGCGTTCGCATGCGCCCACCGCACCCAATTTGGCGAGCTTTTTCACACGTTCCACGGCCCCATAGGGAGCTCCACTGAAGGCCCACATGCCAGCGTTCGCATGCGCCCACCGCGCCCAGTTTGGCGCAACCCCCTCACAAGTTTCGTGGCCCTACAAGGAGCCCCACCGAAGGCCCAAATGCCAGCGATCGCACGCGCCCACCACACCCATTTTGGTACGCCCTTACACGTTTCGGTGCCACACACGGAGCCATACCGAAGGCACATATGCCAGCGTTCGCATGCGCCCACCGCATCCATTCCGGCACGCCCCTCACACGCTTCGTGGCCACATAAGGAGCCCCACCGAAGGCGTTCATGCCAGCGTTCGCATGCGCCCCCGCGCCAATTTTGGCACACCCCTCACACGTTTCGTGGCCCTGCAGGGAGCCGCACCGAAGGCCCAAATGCCAGCGTTCGCATACGCCCACCGCATCCATTTTGGCACGCCCTTTCACACGCTTCGTGGTCCCATAGGGACCTCCACTGAAGGCCCACATGCCAACGTTCGCATGCGCCCACCGCACCCATTTTGGTACGACGCTCACACGCTTCGTGGCCTCACAGGGAGCCCCACCGAAGGCTCAAATGCCAGCGTTCGCACGCGCCCACCGCACCCATTTTAGCACGCCCCTCGCACGTTCGTTGCACCATAGGGAGCCCCACCGAAAGCCCAAGTGCCAGCGTTCGCACGCGCCCACCGCATCCATTCCGGCACGCCCCTCACACGTTTCGTGGCCCCATACAGAGCCCCGCCGAAGGCCCAAATGCCAGCGTTCGCATGCACCCACCGCGCCCGCTTTGGTACGCCCCTTCGCACGCTTCGTGGCCCCATGCGGAGCCCCACTGAAGGCCCAAATGCCAGCGTTCGCATGCGCTCACCGCACCCAATTTGGCATACCCTTCACACGCTTCGTGGCCCCATAGGGAGCTCCACCGAAGGCCCACATGCCAGCGTTCGTGTGCACCCGCCGCTCTCATTTTGGCACACCCCCCAATCGTTTGGTAGCCCCGTAAAGAGCCCCACCGAATGCGGTGCATACAACGACGGTGCGCACAACTGCAGATGGTTGGGTTCTTCGGCAGGCTAATTTGTGGCTCGGCTGACTGACGTCCATGTCAGACGTAGTATCCCACACGCATTAGACCGGATTCCTCTCTGATTCTCGGCATTGTTGCTGGAAGCACGCCAAAATAAGGATCCTCGTAATGAAATTATTGCTCCACTCGTAGATATTGATGACCCGCCCGTAGACCTCGATTTGGTGCCCGCCGGCCGCGGCGCGGCCAGCGGGCTGAGGCCGTCCTCTCTTGCCAAGGGATACGATTTTCCTGCAAACGGCCTCCTCCTCCTCCTCCTCCTCCTCCCTCCTTCTTCCTCCTCCTCCTCCTCCTCCTCCCTCCTCCTCCTCCTTCCTCCTCCTCCTCCTCCTCCTCCTCCTCCTCCTCCTCCTCCTCCTCCTCCTCCTCCTCCTCCTCCTCCTCCTCCTCCTCATCCTCCTCCTCCTCCTCTCCTCCTCCTCCTCCTCCTCCTCCTCCTCCTCCTCCTCCTCCCTCCTCCTCCTCCTCCTCCTCCTCCTCCTCCTCCTCCTCCTCCTCCTCCTCCTCCTCCTCCTCCTCCTCCTCCCTCCTCCTCCTCCTCCTCCTCCTCCTCCTCCTCCTCCTCCTCCTCCCCCCCTCCCCCCCTCGATTCCTCCCTTGTCCCTCCTCCGCGCCCTCCCCTCGTCCTCATCCCTCCCTCCTCCCTCCCTCGCCCCCGCCCGCTGAGCGGGAACGCTAGGAGAGGACCTCCTGCTCGAGGGGGGAAAGCGTCGACCCGGAATCGGCGATGCATCCCCGAGAGATCGGCGATGGCCCCCGATGGCAGAGCCCCACGCCCCCGGCCGCCTTCCGGGACGGTCCCGGCCCCCCCCCCGCACGCCCCCTCGGCGAGGCGCAGCCGCCGGAGGGCGCCCCGAGGCCGTGGAGCCGCCGAGAGCGGGCGGAAGCGCCCCCTCCCCCCGTGAGCCCATGCCCCCCTCAGCGCCGCCCCTGGCCCACGCCGCTGGGCCTTTTTGCCATCGACGGCCGGCGGCCGCGCAGTGCCGCCCCGCGCGGGCGGTGCGCCAGGCTGTGTCTGCGGCCGCCGCCTGCTGCTCCGCACGCCAGGGCGGAGGGGTGGGGGGGAGGTGATGGAGGAAAGGAGGGAGGGAGGGAGGAGGGAGGAGGGAGGAGGGAGGAGGACGGGAGGGAGGAGGAAGGGAGGGAGGAGGGAGGTGAAGGGGGAAGGGAGGAAGGAGGGAGGAGGGAGGGAGGAGGGAGGACTCTGACTCTGACTCTGACTGGTGGCGAGGCCCGCCCGTGGAAACCAAGTCCCCAAAGAGAAAACGGCGACGACCACGACAGACACGACGAGACCACGACGACAGCCGCGGCAAACGGGCAAGCCTCGGGAGGCGGCTGCACAATGCCTACCTGAGCGGGGCGTTACCCTGTGAAGCCAAGCGGATCTGATGATCAAGAGGGGGAGGAGGGGGGGGGAAAGGGGGAGGATGGGGGAAGGAGGGGGAGGAGGGGGAAGGAGGGGAAGGAGGAGGGGGAGGGGAGGAGAGGGGAGGGATGGGGGAGGAGCGGGAGGAGGGGAAGGGGAGGGGAAGGAGAGGATGGGAGGGGGAAGGGGAGAGGGGGGGGGGGAAGGAGGGAGGCCAGAGGAGCATGGGCGACGCTGGCCAGCACGAGCAGGGCGGGTTCGGTGCCTCTTCGCGTGCAGGGTGTTTTTTTTATTCACGAGCGGGGAGCTCACTTCTTCCCTCTCGTTGCGCTCCTCTGCTCTCTTCTTGGATCGAAGGGGAGACAAGCCAGAGGAAGCCCACATCAGCATTGCTGCAGTAAACCCTCGCGTCCCGAGTCCCATCCTACAACCCCGTGCGAAAAGCAACTGGGGTTTGGTGAGCCCCCAGGCCCCCGAATTTCAATGTTCATCGTGCGACCAGCGAAGTGGGGGGGGGGAGGTGTGTACGAAAACCCCAGTTGCTTTTCGCACGGGGTTGTAATCAGTCCCGTTGCGCCTTCCTACTCACTGCACGAAGCGCTCCACTTGGCACCCCTGTGGCCCGACTGTCCGGCGAGAGCCCCACTTTAAAAAAAACGGCACTGTCTTGCATCCTCTTGTTGTCTCTCTCTCTCTCTCAACATATACACAGGCAGAGAGTTGTTCACAGGTGAGCACATGCCATATACACACTGTCGCAAAGCTCAGCGAGGTGTCCAGCGATATCGGCATTCTGAAAAAAAGGACAACCACCACGTGTAGATGTTGCACGTTGTTACGCTTATGACCTTAAGCGCACATGAAGTCTCAAGCGAGACCCCCGAAAAAGAACCACAATCCATCGTTGCATCCGCTGCATCAATGCAAATATCTGGTCTTCCAAACTTGAGAACGTCCCAAGCGAGAGTCCATGGGCTGCTCCACGAGCTCGGCGGCTTTCCCTCCCCGAGCGCGGACCGAAACCAGGGCCTGGCGGAACACAACTTCGACAAGAAGATTGCCCACCTGGCAAGAGATCCCCCCGCGCCCCGTCGCAGGCTTGCAGGCCAACGGCTCGGCCTGCGACCCAGCAGGGGTGGTGGTGCGCACTGAGGAGGCCGTGCGCGGGCACGCCCAGCAAGGGCCGTGCCCTTGTTTGCTCCTGGCGCGGCGGTCGCGGACGAGATCGCCGACCCGAGAGGCCCGCCCGCACTCGCGAGTCGTGCGCCCTAGAGATGGCCGACACAGTTGCGCAGCCTCGGCGCAGCCTTGGGCAGGCGGCCCCGAGCTCGCCCATGGCGCGCGCCCCCCGAGGCGCTCCCGCTCAGCGCGTGCGGCAGGAGCAGGTCCCCCCGGCGCAGTGCCGCGCGTGAGCGGCTCGCGCGAAAGCGGTGGTCGACGCGCAGGCCTCCCGAGCCGAGGCCGCCACGTGCGCGGGCTCCGGCCCATCGCTTCCTGCCGGCTCCAGCAGAGCTCCTGCACCGTTCTGGGACAAGGGGGGGCTCGCCGAGACCCGTGCACATCGTATCGGTCTACGGGGGAAGGTGTTCCTCCTCCTCCTCCTCCTCCTCCTCCCTCACCTCTCCTCTCATCCTCCTCTTCATCCTCCGTTTTTCCTCCCTCCTTTCCCTCCTCTTGCTCCGCCCGGCTTCGCCTCCCACTCCATCCAACTCGTCGGCCTCCTCCTCCTCCTCCTCCTCCTCCTCCTCCCTCCTCCTCCTCCTCCTCCTCCTCCTCCTCCTCCCCCCCCTTCTGGTGTTGGGGGGTAAGGAAGGGCAGGGATCAGTAGAGCGCTAACACATTCTAGGGCTTCCCCCACTGCTTCCACCGGGGATACGGGGCAGGCAGGGTGGGAAGCAGAGAGAGGAGGGGTAGGGCAGCGCTCACTTCTTCTGGGACTGCTCCCACTTCGCTGCCTCCGACTTCTCCCACTCGTCCCACTCCTCCTGGGTCCAGTCCTCGTCGCCGGCGCCGCCGCCGTAGACCTCCTCCCACTCATTCGTGGCATTGAACTTGGTGGTTTTGCTGAGCTTCGTGTTCGCCTTGTTGGCCTTGCCGTCCGTCGCGGCCCCTTTCGCGGCCTTCTTCCCCTTGACCACCTCCGCCAGCATCTTCTCGAAACCGTCCAGCTCCTTGAAGGAGAGGTCGTCCGCGAGTTGCTTCAGAAGGTCTCTCATGAAGGAGACCGAGCCGCCCTTGGCCGCGGCCGCACCCTTGCCGATCTTCGTCACGCAGGCCTCGCTCAGCCGTTCTACGTCGGCCTGCACGCTGAGGGTGACCTGGTCGAAGGCGTCGATCTCGACAATCTTCTTCTTCTTCGCGGCCTTCCTGTCCTCCTCGGCCTTCCTGGCCGCCGCGTTCTTCTCCTCCTGCCGGTGAGGAGACGACGGAGGGAGAGGGAGAGAGAGAGAGATAACAAAAATGATACCAGAGAAAAAAACCCAATCATAATATTTTTAGGGCTGTGGGGCTATAAGGCTACAGGGCTATATGGGCTCTTGGGCGCTATATGGGCTATATGGCTATATGGCTATACGGGTTATAGGGCTATAGGGCTATAGGGCGATAGGGATATAGGGCTATAAGGCTATAGGGCTACAAGGCACCGGGCACCCGGGCACCCGGGCCCGGCCACCGAATCGGCGGCGAACCCGGGCACCCGGGCACCCGGGCACCCGGGCCCGGCCACCGAATCGGCGGCGCACCTCATCTACCCTTAACTCCGCTAGGACCCCTACAGAGGCAAGCTCTGATTGGGGAACAACAACAAAGTCAAAACAAAATAACCCCGACATCCGATGTCGTGGACAAAACACGAGGTCTGGAAGTCGCCACGACGGGAGCCCTCGACCACATCCTCGTCGTGCGGAACTTCCAGACAGAGCCTGGCCGAACCGCGAACACCCGAGGGGCAACGACAGGGAGGGGACCGGCATCGGGGGGAACGCGTCGACCTGGAATCGGCGATGCATCGCCGAAACGTCGGCGATGGGCCCCCGATGGCGAATCCGCACCTTCCTGGGCGGGGTGGGGCCATCGGGCCCCTGTCGGCAATGACTGGGCGATCGGGGGTCGATGCATTCCCCCCCTGGAGCCCAGCTCCCCCTGACCCAGACCCCCGACGCCATGATTTTTTCATTACGCCGACCCCCAGAGGTCCCGACCCTTTCCCCATGACCGGCTTTGCATCCTGAGTCGTTTTTTGACGCTCCCGAGGCCCGGTAAGGGCCCCCGGAGGCCGAAAATTAGGAAAAACCTCCCGTCGTGATTTTTCATTACTCGAGGGGGAGGAGGAGGAGGAGGAGGAGGAGGAGGAGGAGGAGGAGGGAGGAGGAGGAGGAGGAGGAGGAGGAGGAGGAGGAGGAGGAGGAGGAGGAGGAGGAGGAGGAGGAGGAGGAGGGGGAGGAGGAGGAGGAGGAGGAGGAGGAGCCCGGCTCCCCCCGACGTTGCCAGTGACATCTTCGGGCCCACGCTCGGCTCTCCGGCGGCCCCCCCGGGAGCGCCCGCGGCGAGGGTCAGCCGCTGGAAAAGGCCTCCGCGAGGCTGGGAAGGCCGCCGAGGACCCACGAGCCCGCAGACAATCCTTCGACCCCGGACCTCGAAACTTTGCGTCTGGCGTATCCCCCCTTCTCGTTTTTTTTGTTTTTTTTTTTTTTGTTTTTTTGGGAGGGTTTCCCCCCCCGGGCGACCGCGCGCGCGGCGACACGGTGGTCAAGTCTGGCGGTCTAGCTGGCAGAAGTGCAGGTGGGCGGGGACGTATCCCCCCTTCTTGTCGACCCTGAGAAGGCCCCCCAGGGCCCGAAAGCGGGGCGAGCAGGCCATCCGAGCCTTCACCGTCGGCGAGGAATGGGCGATTGGGGGTCGGTGCGCCCCCCTGTCGTTGCCCCTGGAGACCCCAGGGCCCGAAACTTTCGGGCTTGGGCGGCTCCTCCTCCTCCTCCTCCTCCTCCTCCTTCTCCTCCTCCCCCTCCTTCTCCTTCTCCTCCTCCTCCTCCTCCTCCTCCTCCTCCTCCTCCTCCTCCTCCTCCTGGCGCGGGTCTCCTGGCCACATTCCACCCCCGGGGTGCGCAGCCGAAGCCGCGCTGCACGGGCAAAGTGGAGGCCCGCGCCGAGGGTAGAGGCAATGAAGCAGGGAGGGGCAGGGCGAATGCTTCCTTCTGGTGCCACAAGTTTACATGTGTGTTTATGTTTCCCCCAACCATCCCGTAGTATTGGGTCCTCGTTTTGAAGAGACAGCGCCCCGCGTCTCGCTCCTCCTCCTCCTCCTCCTCCATCCTCCCCCTCCTCCTCCCTCCTCCTCCCCTCCTACTACCTTCCTGTGGGACACCCCTCACACGTTTCGTGGCCCCATACGGGGCTCCACCGAAGGCTCAAATGCCAGCGTTCGCATGCGCCCACCGCGCACATGTTGGCAAACCCCTCGCAAGCTTCGTGGCCCTGTAGGGACCTCCACAGACGACCCAAATGCCAGCGTTCGCATGCGCCACGCACCTAGTTGGGCACACCCCTCACACGCTCCGTGGCTCCATAGGGGAGCTCCACTGGCGGCCCCAGTGGCTGCGTTCGCATGCGCCCACCGCACCCATTTTGGCACACCCTCACACGCTTCGTGTCCCCGTAGGGAGCTCCACCGACGGCCCCAGTGTCTGCGTTCGCATCCGCCCACCGCGCCCATATTGCCACACCCCTCACGCGCTGACAGCGCCACCAACGGCCCCAATGGCTGCGTTCGCATGCGCCCACCGCACCCATTTTGGCGCACCGCTCACACGTCTCTTGGCCACATAGGGACCTCCACCGACGAGGCCGACGAGGCAAAAGCTACCGTGCGCATGCGCCGACCGCACCCATTCTGGCACACCCCTCACACGCTCCGTGACCCCGTGAGGAGCTCCACCGACGGCCCAAATTCCAGCGTTCGCATGCGCCCACCGCGCACATTTTGGCCCACCCTTCACACGTCTCGTGGTTCCATAGGTGAGCTCCACCGACGGCCCTAGTGGCTGCGTTCGCATGCGCCCACCGCACCCAGCACCCCCTGGCACGCTTCGTGGTCCCATAGGGACCTCCACAGACGACCCAAATGGCTGCGTTTGCATGCGCCCACCGCGCCCATTTTGGCTCAAACCTCACACGTTTGGCGGCTGCGCGGCTCCAGAGGGAGCTCCACCGTCGGCCACAGAGGCTGCGTTCGCATGCGCCCACCGCACCAATATTTGGCACACCCTTCACACGCTTTGTGGCTCGATAAACGATCTCCACAGACGGTTCCAGTGGCTGCGTTCGCTTGCGCCCATCGCACCCATTTTGGCACACTCCTCACACGTTTCGTGTTCCCATATGGAGCTCCACCGACGGCCCCAGTGGAGTGCTCGCATTCGCCCACCGCGCCCATTTTGGCACACCCTTCACACGTTTCGTGGCTCGGTAAGCGAACTCCACCGACGGCCCCAGTGGCTGCGTTCGCATGCGCCCACCGCACCCACTTTGGCACACCGCTCACACGTCTCGTGGCCATATAGGAACCTCCACCGACGGCGCAAATGCCACCGTGCGCACGCGCCCACCGCACCCATTCTGGCACACCCCTCACACGTTTCGTGGCCCCAAAGGGAGCTCAACCGACTGCCCCACTGGCTGGTTCGCATGCGCCCACCGCACCAATTTTGGCACACCCCTCACACGTTTCGTGGCCCCAAAGGGAGCTCCACCGGCGGCCCCAGTGCTTGCGTTCGCATGCGCCCACCGCGCCCACTTGGTACACCCCTCACACGTTTCGTGGCCCCAAAGGGAGCTCCACCGACGGCCCAAATGCCGCCGTGCGCATGCGCCAACCGTGCCCATTTTGGCACACGCCTCACACGCTTGGTGGCCCCATAGGGAGCTCCACCGACGGCCCCAATGGCTGCGTTCGCTTGCGATCACCGCGCCAATATTTGGCACACCCCTCACACGCTTGGTGGCCCCAAAGGGAGCTTCACCGACGGCCCCAGTGGATGCATGCGCCAACCGCACCCATTTTGGCACATCCCTCACACGCTTGGTGGCCCCATAAGGAGCTCCACCGACGGCCCCAGTGGTGCGTTCGCATTCGCCCACCGCGCCCACTTTGTCACACCGCTCACACGTTTCGTGGCTCGATAAGCGGGCTCCACCGACGGCTCCAGGGGCCTCGCTGAGCCTTCTCACCCGTCTAAGGACTTTCGGGAAAAAACCTTCTCGTATCCTTTCCAGGTACACCTTGCCTGTCGGGGACAGTATGGAGGTGCAGGGGGCGCCCAACGTCCGAACCTGCTTGTCGGCGATGGCACCGCACGTCCTGCACAACCAACATTTCAGGGAGGTGTGGGCGGAGCCAGCCCCCCAAACGTGGATCAGCCCTCCCACAGGAGGGGACAAGATAGCAGGGGGGAGGAGGAGCAGGGGGGGAAGAGGGGTGCGGGAGGAGGAGGAGGACTGGAGGAGGATGAAGGAGGAGGGGGTAGGGAGGATGAGGAAGAGGATGAGGGGGAGGGCGAGTGGAGGAAGAGGGAGGGAGGATGTGGAGCGGCCCCAGAGACGTGAAAAAAGAGCGGGAAGGACGAGCAGCAGGCAGCATGAGGAGAAGGATGAGGAAGACGGGAGGGAGCGAGGAAGGGAGGAATCAAGCGTCGGACTGGGGAGGAAGGGAGGGAAGGAAAGAGATGATGGGGAGGAGGACACATTTGGAGGATAAGGACGAACTCCTCCGTCTCCTTTACCTGGAAACCGTCGAAGAGGTCGCCGACAAGGCCGTCGTTCTGCGCCTCTTGCAGCTTGCGCTGCCGAAGCTTCTGCTCCTGCAAGGGCGGGAAGGAGGATGAGGAGGAACATGATGAGACTGATGAGGAAGAGGACCACGACGAGGAGGTTGATCAGGAACCGGAGAAGAACGGAGGAAGGGGAGGAGGATGAGGAGGAGAATGAGCAGGAACGCTAATAGAACGAGGAAGGGGACGACGACAAAGAGGTGGTGTAGAAGTCGGGGAGACGTAAGACCCGGGTACGGGGGACTCGGAAATCCCCGACGAGGTCGTCAAAAAAATGACGAGACCGAGCCTGCATTTTGACGAGGCCTCCCGCTGCAGACATCCCACGAAACTCCTCCTCGTCAAAATCCGAGTCGCGGTCGTCAAAAAAACGATGGCGAACCCGAGTCCCGGCAAACCCAGGTCTTACGCTCCCCCGAAGAAGGGAGAGTTGGGGGGGGAGCGACGATGACCAGGATGGCGATGCGATGGTGGGGGCAGCAGTGCTGACCATGAGAAGGAAAACGATGCGCTGCCGATGACGCCGCTGGTGATGGCGATACCGAATGGCGGTGGTGAAGACGGGGACGATGAGGCACATGAGGAGGCAATAGGACACACGTGACGGTAAGGTTAGGTCGGGCGTGCCCTCCTACAAGTGATTTAGGGCGAAAAATTAGGAATACTCACACATACCCAGAAATAATAAAAAGAAAAACATATTGGAAAATCGTACCCAGACTGTTGTTGGAAATGACGGCCGCGACGCCCTCTCGCGAACCGAGAACGGCCAATTACTTAATCGACGTGTCAGGGCAGGAGGTCTGTCCACCCCCGAGGGTGCTCTGGAGGCCGTCTGGGCCACCCTGAGACTCCTGGGAGCACCTTGGGCCAGGGGCACTTCTGGCAGCACCCGACTGCCAAGGCGCGGGCCCCCGCCACCGGCCCGCCTGCTGCGCCTCGGGGGCCCTGCCGGGGGGGGGGGGGGGCGAGAGGGCGCCTCGCCGGCAGGGGGCTCCGAGGATCGAGGGCGACGACGGCCATCTCCTCCTCCTCCTCCTCCTCCTCCTCCTCCTTCCTCCTCCTCCTCCTCCTCCTTGTCCTCCTGCTCCTCCTCCTCCTCCTTCCTCCTCCTCCTCCTCCTCCTCCTCCTCCTCCTCCTCCTCCTCCTCCTCCTCCTCCTCCTCCCTTCCTCCTCCCTTCCTCCTTCTCCTCCCCCTCCTTCTCGCCGTCTGCGCCGCCGCGTGCAATGGGTCGACGGTCGAGGTTTCTGAGCGCCCTCGAGCCCCCTGGGGCGAGCCATCCCTCACAGCCACGGCGGGGTCATCCGAGCACGTCTGGCTTGCCTCCTCGCTCGGACGTCCACCTCCCGTGCACTTGTTTCGGTGTCGTGCGGTGCTGCTTCGCTGGATGGTCTGCGCTGCTCCTATGAAAGGGGCCCCAGGACACAGAACTAGATACACACAAATAAAAAGATTCCCCATATTTTCCCATACTTCGGGGTTTCTGTCTTCGCCCCCACTTCCCATAGTTTCCCATATTTTCTGGGGAATCGAAGATGAATTGTGCCTGTGTGTTTCTTCCCCTCCTGATCCTAGGTGATCCAGGTGAACTGGCGCTGGCCTCGCCGAAGAAGGAATGCACACGTCCGAGCGATGCTGAGCTGGCCAGAGAGCACCCCGGGACGCGTCCAGGGGGCGATTTCTGACCCCCAGGCCTGAAGCTCAGACGTCCTTGTTTGTTCAATGCTGGCGGTCTTCTCTCGATTCGGCTTCCCAAGGACCGTTTCGGGTCCTGGTTCTGGGATTTGAAGCCGGCCCCAGGGGATGGGTCAGGACCTCAGGGGGCCAATAAACATGATCGGCCCACGAACCCGAAGAGGGATATAGAAGTGCGCGGCATGGCAACGTTTCAAGACAACTGACTTGGGCAATCGGCGATGGTAATGCTGGATATATCGATTGTGCTGATGCCGTGCCAAGGGCTGTGCCGTGCTGCGCAGAGCCGTGCTTTGCCGAACTGTGCTGTTTCACGCAGTGCTGAACAGTGCTGTGCTCCGTTACGCTGTGGATGAGGTCGTCCTTGGCCTGTAGCTCGAGCTGCCTGGACGCATGGATGCTCCAGAGCTGGTTGTAATCGAAACGTGCGGGGCGCTCAACCAGTTCGAGCTCAAGATCCGATTCAGTTCCGAATCGGGACGAATCGACAGGGAGCCCATGGACGTGTCGCGGGACGTGCCAGGGGATGCGTCAGGAACGTGCAAAGGGACGTGCCAAGGGGACATGCCATGGACGTGTCAGCTTGCGCCACGGCGCGAGCCAAGGGACGTGCAAGGGGACGCGCCACCAAACGTGTAGGGGAAGCGCCAACCGACGAGCGAGGGGACGCGCTGGGGGCACCCGCCAAAGGACGCGCCAGGGCACGTTCCAAGGGACGTTCAGGGGGAATCTCCGAAGCACGGGCTAAGAACCTGCTAGGGGACGCGCCACGGGAGATGCCAGGGGACGCTCCACGGGAGACGTGGTAAGAAACTTGCAGGGAGACGTGCTGGGGGACTTGCCAAGAGCTGCTGCGAAGGGTTAGCCACGGAACGTGTCTGGGAGTGCGCCAAGGGACTGTAAAGTACGCTGGGTCCGCGGTTCCAGGGCCGCGATCCCGAGTGAATGACGCTGCGCTCGTGTTCCCAAGGCCAGGATCCCTGGAAAATCCGTCGACCTCAGAGACGTGTGCGGACGACCTGGTCGCCGCGCCTACTTAGCACCCCCAATCCCTGGTTCGAGCTGTGCTCTTGGGGCCCCCCACCCTCCAATTTCCCGCTCAAGTTCGGCCCTGTTCCACTCTCACCTCGTCTGACATCCGCACCGCCCAGGGAGCTGAGCTTGGGGTCCCGCGCTCTACAATTTCCCACCCAAATCCGACCCCGTCCTGGCAACCTCGTCTGACCTCCGCACCGTCCTGGGCATTGTGTTCTTGGGGCCCCTCTCCCTACACTTTCCCGTCCACATAGGACCCTGTTCAAGCCACCTCGTCTGACCTCCGCACCTTCCTGGAAGCTGTGCTCTTTGGGCCCCCCCACCTACAATTTCCCGCCCAGATAAGACCCTGTTCTACCCACCTCGTCTGATTTCCGCACCGTCCTGTGAGCTGTGTTTGTGGGGCCCCCCATTCTACAATTTCCCGCCCAGATCGGGCCCTGTCCAAGCCACCTGAGGTGGCTGGACAGGGCCCACCTCGTCTGACCTCTGCACCGTCCTGGGCATTGTGTTCTTGAGGCCCCCCCCACCCTGCAATCTCCCGCCCAGGTCCGACCCTGTTCTGGCGACCTCGTCTGACCTCCGCACCTCCCTGGAAGCTGTGATTTTGAGACCCCCCACCCTACAATTTCCCGCCCAGGCCCGACCCTGTTCTACCCGCCTCGTCTGGCTTCCGCACCGTCCTGGGAGCTGTGTTCCTGGCCCCCCGCTCCATTCTACAATTTCCCGCCCAGGTCCGACCCTGGTCTAACCACCTCGTCTGACCTCCACACCGCCCTGGGCATTGTGTTCTTGGGTCCCCCCACCGTGCAATTTCCCAACCATATGCGACCCTGTTCGAGCCGCCTCGTCTGACCTCCGCACCTTCCTGGCAGCCGTGCTCTTAGGCCCCCCCCCGCGCTACAATTTCCGGCCCAGATCCGACCCTCTTCTAGCCCTCTCGTCTGACCTCTGCACCCTCCTGAGAGCTGTGTTCTCGGGGCCCCACCCCTACAGTTTCCCGCCCAGACCCGGCCCTGTTCTAGCCACCTCGTCTGACCTTTGCACCGTCCTCTGGGCGAAAGTCTTCGGGCCCCCCCGCTCGACAGAAAAACCTCGCAGGGGTCGCCCCCCCCACTCCTGACACCGCCAACTTTGTGTCAGCCTCGGGGCACCGTGTGTTGGGCCCCCCCCGGACACCGCCGGCCTTCTTTCAGCCTCTGGGCGGAGGTTTCTGCGCCCCGAATCTGACCCTGTTCCGACCACCTCGTCTGGCCTCCACACCGCCCTGGGCTGTGTTCTTGAGGCCCCCCCACCCTGCAATTTCTTGCCCAGATCCGACCCTGCTCTACCCGCCTCGTCTGACCTCCGCATGGTTTCGGGGCTCCCCGCCCTGCAATTTTCCGCCCAGGTCCGACCCTGATCTGGCGACCTCGCCTGACCTCCGCACCTTCCTGGAAGCCGTGTTCTTGGCGCCCCCCACTTTTCAACTTCCCGCCCGGGTCCAACCCTGCATTGTTGCTCTACCCACCTCGTCTGACCTCCGCACGTCCTGGAACTGTGTTCTCGGGCCCCCCCGCCCTGCCATTTCGACCAGGTCCGAACCTGTCCTAGCCGGGCATCTGCTCTCAACCCGCGCGCTTCGCCTTCGCTGACGCTGCCGGGCCCCCTCGCTGACCCCCCCCCAGGCGCTTCCGCTCAGAACGCGAATTGCGCCGCCGCCCCCCGTCGGGCGTCGCCCTCGACCTGTCTGCCAGCCATCTGCTGAACTCTTGTTTCGCGAGCGCAGCGGAGCAGCCGGCGCATTTCCACGAGCCGCGCGGCGCCGTCGCGGACGCTGCGCGAGCCCGGCGCTTCCACTTTGCATTGGGACTTTGCTCCGCATCCGCGAAGAGAGCTTTTGTTCTGCCTTTGGAATTTCGCGCTGAACGCGCTCTCGCATCTCTCTCTTCGAGCTGGCGCTGGGGGCGCTCCGCGCCCGCCCGATGTGCCCGTCTCTCGCCGCGCCTGCGCGCATATTGCACGTCGGTTCTGCGTCGGCCACTTTCTCGAGCGCGCAACGCGAGAACAACCGCGTTCTTTGTTGTGACAGCACTTTGCTCATGGCAGCGCTTCCACGCCCCGCGCGCAGCTATGCCTCGTGGCGGGCCCCTTTCTTGCGCGCCTTGCAGATGCGCTCCTCGACGCCCCGGGTCTGGCGCCAACTTCTCGCGCCCGCAGCGGGGGCGCTTCAGCTTCCGCTTCAGCTCTTCGCACTCTGCGCGCATCCCCCCTCTGCGTCGGCTGCCCCCTGCCAGCTCCCATTGATTGATGCGCCGC